GTCGTGTTGGTTTGTGGAGCTCAGAGGTGATGCACACTGCGTTTACTTGGTTCATATAGGCGAACGTGCCCATAGACAAGGCATGCATCACTGAGATAGATGAACATCGTGTACGCATCAGTCTTGTTGTGATTTACCTTGGCGCCAGTTGAAGCCGACATGCGTCATGTTATTTGGTCGGTCCGTGTCTAGCTCTGACCATGGTATTTTGCACAAGGCGAGGACAGCAGTAGAAAGCATGACCCAGATGCTGAAGGATCCGACTGCCCTCAAGGAGGAGATCTCGCTGCCCACAGAGAGAGGCAATACGACGATGTAAACGATGCTGACCAGGGCTAGAGTACGGCTGAGGGAAATCTGGAGCCACGCTTGAAGGACAGATGGAATGAAGTCGCCGAGGAAAATGAGGTAAGTGACAATAGCGGCTCCTTGGTACACCGTCATAAAAGCGTCGAAGGCTGGTAGTCTATAGTTGCCTCTGTCAAGATTGCCTTTACTGTTCGCCAGACTCCACGCGAGAATACCACCATAGGTTTTCTGGCCAGATATGCTCACGGCTTGGCCGAGGATCGCATCACTGATGGCTGTGATGAGCCCTGCGACCATCAATATAAAGATACCAAGATAGAGGCCAACGTCCTTAGCGGCCGAGGGCAAAGCCAAGACGCCGCTGCCGATCGAAGCAGTGAATAGCAGAGTACTACACGAGAAGGGGGAGCCAGCGTCGAAGAAGCCGGGTGGACCACGTGCGGCTGGGGTTAGGTCCGGTAGTCTACCAGGCGATAGAAGGGGCGTCGCTATGGCCATTCAGCTCGTTAAGAAGCCTATGTGAGGGTGATTGGCAAGGGCTAGTTGGCGGTGGAGATGGAGACCGTGACCTGTCCCTGTCCAACAGGTGTGTACAGTAGAAGGAAGTCCCGAGTGGAGAATGATAGGTGCTATGAGGATATGTGATACGCGATAACTTCGTTTCGAGGATCGCCTTTAAGTTCTGATTAAGTCAACAATGCGGTGTCTAAGATTCGTAGTTACTGTGACGCTCTTTCGATTAAGGCGCGTTCCTTATAGATGATCTGGGCGTGCGCGGAGATTTCGATCTCGCGTGAATCTGCGACATTATGGGCTGAAAGAGCACTTTGCGTGTTGGTGTTGTCGTAATGGTGCTGCCAACACTCGCTCGTCGTATGGCGGTCTCGACCCGTCCACCTTGTCGCATGGTTCTTAGTAGGGGCTATAAGACTGAGAATCCTCTGTACAAGGACGATGTGAGAAAATATGCAACCAACACGACTGCAATTGGTTTATCGTTCAGGAGCCCTTCGCCAAAACCTGTCACACTTTCGACTACACTAGAGAGGGGACGGAAAAGAACGGCCTCGGCTACTACTGCTTGATGGGTCTCTGGGCCAGCATCTTCATTTGGGATAGTCTTTACACTGGAGCTACCATGTAAGCCAGATACGCCAGATTTACGGTATGCGATTTCTTCTCCTCAGGCCGACTGGTGTTCATCGTTACGTTTGGGGGCCATATTTCCCTACGGCGTGGTTTTAAGAAAGCCCACAGAGATTAATTCTTCACAGCCAATCGCGAGGGCGTTGGCAAATGACAACAATCGATAAGAGGTCAATTTTGGCGTATCATGTAGAGAGAGACACATTATCATTTTGAAAGCTACTACTTGTGTTATCAACTATAATTTCGAGCGCCGCTTTGATCAAGACGGTTTTTGTAGTAGTGGTGTCCTCGACAACACCCTTTAACAACCCCAGCTATCACTTCCTTTAATTCTGGACAAGAGACCAGTGCTGTATCGTGTCACAGTCCAACACTGGTCTGGTCTCAGTCACCGCGAAGAATGTCGCGGTAGTGATTTTGCTCGTAACCGTGTAATATCGAAGCGTTATGTGACACATGCAGGGTAGAAGATTGAATTTTGCGCGGTGTTGGAAGAATATGTCATGGTCGACTACGTGTGTGCGTGATAATACGAAGATTCCGAGGGAACTTAGGAAAACTTTTTGATTCATGTACTCTAACTTGGACAGTGCGGAGTGCTAGGAGGTGTAAATGCACGAGCTAAGAATGCCCACAAGGTATACGATGGTTCTCCAAATGGTGCGAGTTGGGCGATTAACAGGAGCAATAGCGGTGATTGTGGTGGCGATATGAAAGCTTGTGTAGTCATTAGTCCCCCGGACTGTATTTCTTCTCTTTCGAGTGCGTTGGACAGGGCCTTTGGTATTGACCGAGATACCATTCTTATTATCATCTGGCAGCCTTGTCGTTTGGAGTAGCCCAACCCATTACTCTTCGACACCCACAACGAAAGATGCAAATTACGTGCAACACAAGACAGATAAGATTTTTCTTCTTTGCGTGTCGTAGATCTGGATGTGTCATCAACAACATCGCGTTACTAGCGGGTTGACGATAAAGGAACATCGTTAACATCAGCACAGACTATAAATAGTAACTACTAGAAATTGAAATAATACCCTAGTATTAACAACATGCCACAAAGGCATAATCATAGCCAAGCAGCTCCCTTAAGCGGCAAGCTTCTTAGCCCTCTCACAAATGTTCTCAGCAGTAAAGCCAAACTTGGCCTTCACATCCTTAGCGGGACCAGAGGCACCAAACGTAGTCATTGCAATCCACTCATCAGCGTACCTCTCGAATCCGAGGGGACTGGCGGCTTCAACCATCAACCTCTTGACACCCTCAGGGAAGACAACCTTCTTGTAATCATCAATTTGCTTCTCGAAAAGATCCCAAGAGGGCATAGACACAACACGAGCATCAACACCCTGTTCAGTTAGCAGCTTTTTAGCCTCCACCGACTGGAGAACCTCAGTGCCACTGGCGATGATAATGACCTTCTTGTCACCCTTGCCAGAGAAATCATCAATAATATAAGCGCCCTTCATAGCACCCTCAGGAGAGGAATGGTCGAAGGTGGGAAGTCCGGAACGACTAAGAATGAGAGTAGTAGGGCCTTCCTTGTTGTTCAAGTAGGCCATATAGGCACCGACGGTTTCGCGGCCATCACATGGTCTGAAAGTACTCATGTTAGGGGTAGCACGCAACAAGGGGAGCATCTCAATAGGCTGATGAGTAGGACCATCCTCACCGAGATCGATGGAGTCATGGGTCATGACATAGAGGACCTGTTGTTTCGAGAGGCATGAGAGTCTGACAGCACCCCAGCAGTAGCCTATGAAGTTGACAAAGGTGGCTCCGAAGGGAAGGAAGCCACCATAGGCGTGCATACCATTCAAGATAGCAGCCATACCGTGCTCGCGAATACCGAACTCCATGTAGCGGTTCTGCATGGCACCCTTCTGCATGACGGGGTATTTGCCCATATTGGTCATGTTGGAGGCAGTCAGATCAGCTGACCCTCCAACGATCTCAGGGAGGCGCTTCATGAGAGCAGCAAGCACCTCGCCACTGGTGACACGAGTGGCCTTCGCCTTGTCACCAGGCTGATACTTGGGAATGCACTCGTCCAAATCAATGGGTAGTTCTCCCTTGAAGCGTCTGACGAGCTCAGCATATTCAGCAGGTAAGCCTCGGCGACTTAGCGAGAAGATCGTCCCACTCCTTGTTGGCCTTCTCACCGCGAGCAAGGGCGCTCTGGTAGAGACTGCGGACCTCAGCGGGGATCTCGAAGTGCTTCTCAGGGTCGAAGCCAAACTCCCTCTTCACATTGGCGAGATCGTCGTCACCCAAGGGAGACCCATGGACTTTGGACGTGCCCTGCTTGGCCGAGCCATAACCAATGGTGGTATGGACCTTGATGATAGTAGGCTTGTCAGTGCACTTCTTGGCCTCCT